GGTCATGGTAATCCCCATAAGAAAACTATAACCACAGTTTTGCAAGCATATTTTAAATTTGTTTTTAGTATGCAGACCTTAGCTTAGCAGTACATCACATTTTCCATGCTCTGAAGTGTGAAAATGTTTCAATGTGTTGCCTAGCCCTAGGAAAAATTGCTATCTATTGAAGGAAAGAAAGCAGGTGTGACAACTAAAAGGGAAGTAAAGAGTACTTGTTCTAATTTTGATGTGAAGCTAAACAGATTTGTTTTTTAATGAAACGTTCCCATCTACAAAATTGTCCCCACCTTTTGGTTAGCCTAGCAGTAAAGAATTCACCTGTAATATGGTGGTAACATTGCCTCTTTTATTATGTTCCCAAAATAAAATTACAATCAGCTAGCATTATAATAGATCATGTTTGATCAGTCAAACAGCCACTAAGTGCCACTCAAAAGAATAAAAGATTTTACCTATGTCATTAAATATGAATTGAATCACCTAGGAGTTGCAAGACCACCAGGTGTTCTATAGGCATTTGCAGAAACAGAACAATGAACTTGATCTTATTACTGCCGGAGTTGTAATGCAGCTCTCACTACAAAAATTTGGCCATGGAAGAGATCCAGGTGGCTCAAACATATGAGCTGCATAACCATCCCAAAGCTCGCTCTGTATCTGGAAGTAATATTTAAGGGTATGTTCTTAGGAAACTAAAACACTGCCTTTTACTAGTCTAATCCAAATTAAAGCACAGTTAAATTTTTCATAAGGCATTCACTGAAACAAGCCTTTTGGACACGGTTACACCCAAGGAAAGTTAAAATAGGCAAGAAGACGAAATAAGTCTTTTGGATGGTGTTTATTCTTTCTTGAAGTGAAGGGTGGCGTGAGGGATGCAAGAGGGCAGAAATACCATGTCAAGACCAAGCACAAGGGGCTTTTTGGTGCTAGATGGCCTGATGGGCCCTGTGAGGGCAGTGGTGATCCTGGCTCCGGTATCCAGGCAGCAAAGTGCCATTAATATTTCGGTACCATGTCAATGGAGCAAATGAAATTTGGCAATGTCTTTCAAAACCTAAAATGCACAAATGATTTGACCCAGGAACTCCACTTCTAGGAACTTGTCCTACAGATATGACTACAAAAGTGCAGACAGATATGTGAGGATTTTCACTGCAGCATTGTTTACAGTAAGCAAAAGACCGGACATAATTTAAATGTTCACCAGAACTGGTTTTAAAAAATGACAGTATGCTGGAATACCATGCAGCAATGTAGAAGATGGATGTAGCACTTCACGTGCTGAAATATGTATTGTGGGAAGCAAGGTGCAGGACCATGTGTAGTGCGCTCTTAACTGCTTTTTAAAAAGGAGGAAGCGAGGGAGGGAGAGAAGGGACAGATGTGTGCTTGTATGTGCAGAGAAGGCTTCTGGAAGGCTGCTTCAGGGAAAGGGGTACTGGGAGATGGGAAGGAAACACACTTCTGCATCATTGCAATGTCTTGCTGCATTTTATTTTTTTGAATTGAAAAAATGTTTTTTTCCTCGATTATGCTGCAGCTGTGCTATTATGTTCTGTAAAATTATAAAAGAGAGAAATTCATCTTACCCCTCAGCTTTGGTGCCCATGGATTTCCTCACCTGGCCTGACAGTACCGCACAGACAA